AAGACAATTTTTCAGTTGTTTTTACCATGGTGACAAGAGGAATTTATAAGAAACTTAACTCAAAGTAAATTCTGAAAATGCATCTGTGACAAACTTTGCTGCAAAAACTTTGGGCATTACTTAATATAATATATATGTCTGGTTTAGAGAGGCATTTAATCAACACACCAATCTTAAGGTGGACTTTAATTAACACTTATATTACACATGAAGTGTAAGGCTTTCTCTAAGATTCTTTACCTGTATAAACGAAAGACGAAAACGTGAAAAGAAGACTGAAATATCAATTCCTGTGACTGGAGAAATGCCAAAATGATCCAGTCTTGCGTAGAGATTTTGTAACGTATCTGTTTATGGGTATACTTCAGGCCTATACTTAGTCAGTGAAAAAGTTAAAAATAATTTTTTTGATAGAATAAGTTAACTCATTTTAAGTTGAAAAGGTTAAGATGAGATGGAAATTCAACCTCTGAAAAATCTAGACTTGCTTCATCATGTTCATTGAGATGTAGAGCATAAAGGCTCGGAGGAAGGTGGAAAAAAAGCTCAGGGCCTGAGAGTGACCTAGATTTGACAAAAACTTAATCCATGAAAACATACCGTAGTTTATTTTTTCAAATGAAATACCTTTTCCTGAAGTTGAAACAAAAATAAATATTCCAGAGCCATGGTGCAGGTCTAGGTCCATTTAAGAGATTACATGGGGCAGGACTTACTAAGGTCCAATGTGAAAGATCATAATTATTTCAGAGTCATTGTGAAAATATGTAAAATAGGACTGTACAGTGTTACCGGTATACAGATTATCACAATACGCCTTTCAAATGATATGTATTGCAATGTTTTTCCTCAGAACCGGTATATTGGGTTAACAAAAAACATACAAAGTTTTGTGAATATCTCTAGGGTTTAAGTTAAAATCCACACAGACTTTCACTCATACTGAAGTGTTCCATTGTAATTAATTTACAAAACAGCATACTTCACTTACAATAACTTTTATGAAAAAAATATACAATCCCTCAAAATCAAATCTAAATTTGAAAATTCTGTTATCACAACCATAACATTTATTTAGGGCTTTAGTACGTAGAGAATACACTCTGTGGGTACAGTCAATGTCCCTCACTGTCAAACACTCCCAATATTTTGGAAAACGGATACTAGAATATAATTGCAATACAGTCATCCCTCACAATAACGCTCTTCGCGATACCGCGGATTCGGTTAAACCGCGGGGTAATCCGTGGCTCCCATAAAAAAAGTTGCCCAGTGATCACACATATTCACGTCATCGAAAATAGCACATCAACAAATCCGCTCTTGAGCTCTGGTTAATCACGTTGTAAACTAGTGAAATTCAGTGCGGATTGCAATTAACAGTGTTTATCGTACATATCCATGGTTTTTCAGATGCTTAAAACATGCAGGGTTTTTTCAATAATAATAGATGAACAGTGAAACATCGTAATAACTTTATCATAAAGACATGTCGATCATCAGCCGAGTACTTACAACGTTTGCTATGATGCAACACACCACGTAATTGCGCGGGTAAACACCGCCATCCGAGAATGTATGATGTCAGAAAACACATTTTATTTGATTAAATTCAATCCCATTTTCATTCATTAAAACTGTTTACAATAACAACTAAGAAACCGTGAGTGAAATGGCATTACCTCATTCCATACAACGCCTGCTTACCACATTCGTGAGGGTCCATTTTTCGCGCCTACCGCGATAGCACCAATTTCACATTTTTCTCAGCAATCACGAACAGATTACAGCCTTGTCATCCATTGCCAACACACAGCCCTAATATATAAAATTATATTATACACACAGATATATATTATAAGAATTAACATTAAGAGTCTATGTGTTTCTGCGTAAAAATATTTTGGAAAATATTTTAAGGCTGCCCAGATCTTTTGCAAACTTCAACAGCTGAAATATCCTTATCACCTAACAACTGTTGTTCCACACCAATGACCACAACAAATTACGACGTTCTGCATGTGCTCTTATTACATATTAATGTCTTGTCAACAACCTATATAAATTATATATTCCACAATAAAAGGACGCATTTCCGTATGTCAAAGAACACCAGACGTCTAAAATGCAATTTCATATCCTGCCCAAAAAAGAACTCGGAACAATGACTGGCTAAAAAACTCATTCATATCAACTGTCAAGTATAGTGTATATGCTAGCAGGGATCAAATAGGCAGTGCTCACACGATAATGAGTAAATTGAAACCTCTAAGTTTTAGTGCACATTTGGCTGGTTAGAAGGTCACACAATGCATAGTCTGAGGTCAAATCCATATGGGTATGGCGACAATACTTGAGCAGCGATTACAATGGTTTCAAGTGTCAATTTTCTGTATGAATGGGCTATTGAAGTCGGACTTTTACACACTACATTTGACATTGAGATTTTCAGCCAAGAAGAATGGCAAAGCATTTATCAATTTATTGATCATGGGTTGGGAATGGTCACATAAAGGTTTGGATAATTGATCCGTTAATGTTTTGTTGTGGCCACTGTCAAACCCTTCAGAAAATGCTTTATATAGTACCTTGTTTCAAAACCTTGGATCCGTTTCGACCACATACTCAAAAAACAAGTTGGGCTTCATGAATATGTTGAGGATATTTGGGTAGTGAAAACTGAGCATGCAATTTTTTATGAAAATTACCCCACAGTGTTGACATGGTTAATGACCCATTACTTCTTTTGTTCAGTATATATCTCTCGGCACAGGTGAAGAAATGTTTTTGCATAAAAATGACAGCCTGTCTGCATAGATACTTATCTTTTCCCAAGACTGACATTTTCAAAATCTTGGTTGTATAAACTTTGTGTGACAAATATTTTATCTAATCATATAGCATTAAGCTCAATTAGTATAGTATAGGGATTTATGTCGATTGACATACTAAGCACCTTTTGTCGGCAAATTGAGAAAAAATTGTTTTGTTAAATATTGAGACTTTTTAAATTATTACTTAATCCAGATGTATTTTTACATTGAATTTTAAGTTTGGTGCAAACTAATATATTCAGATATGGATTAACAAGCTAAGCTAGCCTGATGCGATATGTGCCCGTGAAGATCCCGTTGTCATCAATCCATGCTTGTTGTAAGAGGCAACTAATGGGATGGGATGGTCAGGTTGGTTGACTTGGTTGACACACAGATAAGATATTATTTTATTTAAGTGTCACATGATATACATTTCTAAAAAGTGTCAAAAAAAAAGAAAAAACAGTTAAAAAGTATACCATTCGGCATAATAGGGATGTCTATTAGGGATACATCGATACTTTTTCTAAGGCGATACAATTATCGATACATATAGATATTATATATGTTTATGTATCGTTTACATTTTGTAATTGTATCATGTTTTTTGATGTTATGAGAGATATGTAGCACTAAAGTGAAGTATATGTATGAATTTGGTATGGCAAACCCCCCACACACAACACACACACACACACACGTGGGGCTCTGAAATGATCAGATTGATGCTCATGATGTTGATCACTGGATTGTTTGGTCTAGATTTGTTTTTAGAACTGATTTTCACCAACCCATGATTGTCACAGACTGTCGCCATATAGCTGGAATATAGCTGAGTGCGGCAAAAAACAACAAACAAACAAAATCATTTGAGGCTTTTGCATCACATAAGGGCAGGGAAGAAGTGAAAATAACGTGGTAAGTCAGTGATTTTATTTTATGCCACTTTAGTGATATTCCAGCATTATTACAAAAGGGGACACTAGAAAAGGGTTCTCACATTGTGCCCATATGGGAAATGAAACCTAGGTCTTCAGCGTGAAGAGCAATTGCCTTAACAACTAGACTACCTCCCCCCCCCCCCCCATTGTTCAAGGACTATCAGACTTACTGATATTTCAGGTTAGGATACATTCCTTTGTAATGAAAATAATTGTGCATAGATCGATGATTCATAACATGCTTGGAATTTAATTCAGTAATCATCATTAATTTCTTCAATTCATATCAATATACTTACAGTCAAAGAGATTCGGCCTCTAATTTATTTGATTAATCATCATTAATTACAATTCCTATCAGCTACGATTATCAGGAAATGTCCCCAGTGTCAAGTTCTTCAGTCTCTCTGTGATCTATCTGTTCTTGCTAATGAGAGAAATGCTTAAGGCGTACATGCATCGGATGAAGACTTTACATGCTGATCAAACATGTTTAATGGGCGTAGAACGTGAATTACTTAAATAGAACCAGTTTATCTTCATTTTAACTGTGACGACACAGTATAGAACACAAAGTGTTTGAAGTTTACAAAACTGGCTCTAGTGCAGTACGTTTAACCCTTGCAATGGGTTTATTCATGAAGTGGGTATATTAATACTTTTAACAATATCTTCATGAAGGAGTGTCACATACTTAAGGCAATTCTAAGTCTTCGGTTGAGATGCTTTCAATAGACCGACCTGGGTCACTGTGACATTAGTAAGTCCAGCGTGACCACCCTTGTTAAAACACGTTCCTCGGGGTCAGTTTGGTTATAATGGATGTCAAGTGACCTGTCTACTCAAATAGACTCGTCCAACAGGTGCCCGTGCCGATTTTCAGACGACAGGTGTCATTTGAGCGAAATATCCATCACTCGAACACACTATGGACTCAAGGAATATATGAGGCGAATATTGTAACGACTTGAAATGAATAAACGTTGTATGTGTTTACTGTAAACATTCACCTACTGCTCTCAAGATTATGGCTGCCGATTTTACAATCGGTCACGAATGATCCATAATCGCGGGGCGAACGGGTGCACATTTTGTGACCCCTCGACACCGTGACAGATCACGCTCTGCAGTCACACTCATGAAGCTATGTATCTCACATTATTTCAAACCAACGTCAATAAAACACTCATCAAAATAACTACTGCCACATGGTATAAAACGTATTACACAGAACCAAACTTACCTCGATCGAGACGAGTCAAAACTAAAAAGTTTACTCCAAGCTTGAGTTGCAAACATCCAAGGTAAATCCACTCGTCTCGCGGTCGTCTCTGCTGACATAAATAGTATCCTGTGGTCGGTGAGATACCGTGGGTTGGAATCGGGGAGTGGTAAGTTGTGACTAATATTATTGTCGTGGAAGGAAGTATTCCCCTATGACAATTCTGCTGCGACAGTCTGGAGTAGCGCCAAGTGCTGATATCTGGGCCAGTCCATTCCGGGAACAGGGGGAGAAGGTTTGAAATGAAGTCACGTCAACGTCTCTGGAGGAATGTTTCTTCCATGAATGGCCCACTTTTTGTCAACTAAGGAGGATGTCAGCGGATAATTAATGATTAACGTTCACCAGGTTATCTTTATATATTTAAAATATCTTCAAAAGTGGCTCATAGTATAAATAAGTTTATAATGAACACGCTCATAGATAGGCCAACTTGCGGATATATATCGAACTGATCTGTGAGTCCCGGGCACTTTCTACATTGTGTATGTTTTAGTCGAAATATGTATTACTAACCCTAGTTAAAACGAAATAGAATTAGCTCAAACTTTTCCGTTAAAACCGTATTTTAGACACATATTTGGATCTGATCATTCATCTGATCTCTCTTCCAAAATTCTAACGCGAATAAAAATTATGAGTCAAAATATTAACCTTCCTTGTTTCTCTTTAAATGTGTACAGTTTTTGTTAAACCCGGATTGTTAACGGTTTAGCCCACTGGACTAAGTGCCCGCCCGGAGAGCTGCAGATCGGTGGTTCGATCCCAGGCCCAGTCAAACCAAAATATATATAATGAGATAAAACAACAAGTGAACTGTGGTATAGTGTCTACGTGGACTTGCCCAATAAATTCGACATGTAGGTCGATCGAGATTAATGCAAACACACACGCACACGCATACGCACATCTCAAGGCGAGCCTGTCTCCGTATATATGTGTGTTATATATGTGGCCGTAGCGATTGTTGAAAATGTATTTGCATGGAATTTCAGAGACAACAAATGAATAAAACGCTTGTCAAATATCAAGGACTATATGGTCGGCACTGAGGGGAATCTAGGGTTATTTCCCCTGGTTGTTGACTAACGGGACGAACTTATTCGTCCGAGAAGTTTCGGGAAAGAGAGTTACAAGTCCCTATGTATATCATAAGAGCGATACGTGCGAGATTTAAGAGATTTCGACCTGACGTATCTTCACCACGTTGTGTCGAACCTTGATATGTCGAAGTCAGTGTTGTCTCGAAGCAATAGCTTATAGTTTCTGCGTATTCCCCCCGTCATCAATTTCCCGATATGTCAAACCTTGGATAACTCGAAGTATTTACGTAGGTCCCATCAACTTCGACACAAGGGGTGTTGACTGTATATGAAAGAAATCACTAAAATTCTCCTAGCTTCCTGGGTGGTGGTGTAGATTGTGTGCACACTCTTGAAAAGGGGTAGGTGGGTGCACACTTCATTTTCACCCGTTTTCAGTGGTCATTTAATACACTTTCACGACAAAAAAGGGGGGGGGGCACACCCTGCATCGCGCCCCCTCCACCCCACCCCCACCCCTGGATCTGCCTATGATACTTACTCTCAGCAATTACTTCCTTTGAAATTTGAAACAACCACGACAGTTCCATCAAATATGGCAATTGTTCATTTTTCTCCTCATCAATCTATTATTTCAATACTTTATTCATCTATTGTTCGTTCAATTATCCCAGCAAACACGCTTTTTCAATATCAACTCTACATTCGTTTTAGCTTAGTCTGAGACTAGAATCTAAGTATATCCCCGAACAGACAAACAGCTGCGAACACCATTTCCCACCCAAAAAAAAAGCAGTCACGTGCCGGTGCATGCAGGCGTAAATTTAGATGCGTTTTTTACTGCCACTTTTTATGCTCCCGAAATGGAACCCACCCACTTTTATTCAATATGTCTGCCGTGCGTGGCGGCTGACTGGTTTCGCAGTTGGAATGAACGGAAGTCACAAGACAGGATCCCAGTCTATCTACATCAACACAAGAAAGAAGGAGATTATATTCCTTAAATTTCACGATCCCTTCGTTTTTTATTCTTCAAGGTGTTCCGGCAGTTCTTTCAGGGATAATTTCTTCACTGCAGGCACCAGGTCTCTGCTCTGAGATGTATGATCTGCCTACTAGAATTGTTGTTGGGCAAGGGTCGACATACATGGAGTGAGCGAGTTGTGTTTTATGAGTGAGTGAGTATCGTTTTCCACCGCTTTTGTCAATATTCCAGCAATATCACGGCGGGGACACCAGAAATGGGCTTCACACATTGTACCCTTGTGGGGAATCGAAAGCAGGTCATTAGCGTGACGAGCGGACGCTTTAACCATTAAGCTACCCCACCGTCCCTTGTGTTTTAAGCTGCATTGAACATCAGTCCAGTTAAATCACAGTGTGTCAGCCTGTCGGGAAAAAACAATCTCCCCTTCCCTTCCCCCGAAATCTGAGACATCTACCCCTATAGTGAAACCGTTGAGCAGGGGTATGGTTCTTATAAAGCTGGAAACTTAACCAGGACGAACTGGGATTCGAACCCACGATTAGAGGGTTCTGGTGTACCAAAGGGACGCAACTCTGTAAAGCGAATTTTGACTGGACCACCTTAAACATACATATAATCTCTGAATACATATAATTTTGATAGAAACGAATAATTACATTTAAATTACAAAGGATGTCCAGTGATGTGGGGAATTCTGAACCTGACTGACTGACTGACTGACTGACTGAGTTTGGTTTTACGCCGCTTTTTCAGCAATATTCCAGCAACATCACGGCGGGGGACACCAGAAATGGGCTTCACACTTTGTACCCATGTGGGGATTCGAACCCGGGTCTTCGGCGTGACGAGCCAACGCTTTAACCACTAGGCTACCCCACCGCCCCTCTGAACCTGAGGAAGTGTAGACTTGCTTCATTTAGGGTAAGCATTGCAGAAAGGGCTGGTGGAGGGAAATTATGTGTGGTTCAGGGACTGTGAGTGAGTGAGTTTAGTTTTACGCCACACTCAGCAATATTCCAGCTTTATGGCGACGGTCTGTAAATAATCGAGTCTGGACCAGACGATCCTTTAATCACAAGCATGAGCATCGATCTGCGCAATTGGGATACGTGTGTCAAACATGTCAGTGAGCCTGACCACCCGATCCCGTTAGTCGCCTCTTACGACACGTAAGTATGGGTTACTGAAGATCAATTCTAACCCGGATCTTCACAGGTTCAGGGACTGTGAAAGAAACTAGGGCATCCTCTATAACTTTTTGGTCAATGTTTCCTTGTTACCACTTAACAAATTCTTACAAAAATGGTATTACTGTTTATATAATCGCAATGGTTTATGGAGTCAATGGCATTGCGCATTAGGTTTAATCTTTTTTCCGATTACACCCGTGTTTTATCTTTTTGTTATTAATCTTGTACATATTACATTATGATTGATTACATTATGATGTTTCTCATTTTAATGTGGTTTTGATTTATTCTCAAAAATGACTTCAAAACTGGTCAAGTATGATTTCCATCTTAATGTGTCTCTTGCTATTTAGTTTTAAACAACCCGAGAAGATCCGGGTTAGAATTGGTGTTCAGTAACCCATGCTTGTCGTAAGAGACGACTAACGGGATCTAGTGGTCAGGTCCGCTCACCTGGTTGACGCATGTCCTAATTGCGTACATCGATGCTCGCGCTATTGATCACTGAATTGTCTGGCCCAGACTTTTTTATTTACAGACCACCGCCATATAGCTGGAATATTTCTGAAAGCGGCGTGAAACAACAAACCAACCAAGCTATCAATATTTTTGAAGCATGCATGCCATAACGTAGATTTTATTGGCGTTTCAGTAACTTGGGTTGCGCTAAATTTTAGAGGGAAAATCCCCCAAACGTCGATACAAGAATGTTGAAGCATGAAACTTATTCCGAAAAATACGACCAGTCAATTCAACACTAACATAGTTCCGTTTCTAAAGGAATGACACAAACGATTAGAGCAGAGTAGATTGATGTACAGAGTGAAAGTGATTAAAACAATATGCAGAATGAGTTTATACAATAGATGAGTTGATGTACACTGAGATGGTAATAGTGAGTTGAAGAGAGTAGGTTGATGTACACATTGATTGGTTGTGATTACAATACACGAAAGGGAGCATATATAGAAGCCAGTTGGACGAGGTAAGGGTGGATTACTGGTGATCTTTAATTAGGTGGCGAGAGGCTGATGAGATAAAATAACCTAAAACATACATACAACGTCGCACTCATTGCAATAAAGAAGTTGACAAACTTGGTTTTCCTTCATCTATACAACTTCTAAAATGGCTCTCAAAGAAGAAATAATGCGATTGACGGTGACTGATTCAAATACACGCACATGCGTTTGTTTACACAACGGCTCTCTGAGACCCATCCTCGATAATCTCCAGGGTATTCGTTACGATCACTCTCCACTATACCCTGGATGCATGCACGGCTTGGGGCGATGATTTTATTACCTCCCTTTGCTGGCTTTTTATCCAGTCAGATGCCTACGCTGGGAAGTTGAGCGAACCAATCACTACTCACTTTCACTACTCAAATTATCTAACCGTTTAAACTTGGCAAAACAATTGATGCAGAGGTACTCTGAAAGAAGTAGACGGAGTTCTTTCATATATTTTTTGAAAGTTTCACATCTGTGAATTTATCTTTATTACTTCCCCAAAAATCTGAGTGGCACTGCGAACAAACCATCGCGACTACGACCGCTATCTTTGTTGACACTGGCAAGCTCGGTTGTAACGGCGGCTTAGCTGATTGGCTACTGTGAGAATGCGGAGTCAGCCAAGGGAGGTAATAAAATCATCGCCCCAAGCCGTGGATGCATCCAGGGTTTATAGGAGAGTTCTGGAGATTATCGAGGATGTCTGAGACCAACTGAATGTATTTCAGACGATCTTGCGGGTTTTGGAGATTGTTCGTGCGCTTCTAACAGTTTTAGGAAATATACTATAAATCGCTAAGAGTTTTAAAACAATAATATTACATCTGCATATATAACTATTTTCTTCACATCTCTGGGGATATTTTGGGGGTCATTCATAATTGTTTTTAGGGCATTCTTTTTAAAATTCCACCTGGGCATCAAGGTTACAGGAATATTCAGTTTGAACAATATTTTAAAGTCATTTTTGAGTCGGGATTCTGCTTCGG